ATTCTTAGTGGCAACACGTACAACTCACCGGGGGCACCATCAGAGTACGTTCTATGAATGCGACACAAAAATACCGTGCCGCCTATTGTTATTGTATCGCAAAACTGTCCCATGTTATTGTCGTAGCGTGACTCAGAATTAGAAACAGTCGCTAGCAGGAAAATTAAAAATGTTCAAAATAAAGGTTACGTATTATTTTCTTATCTTGTTCGAGTATTTTTCTAAACAATAGAACTGACAATCCGGAATCCGTATCACATTCATTTATATGTCACTTATCAGTAACTCATTGAATCATTCATCAATCATTAGTCAGCGTCTAGCGAACCCATTCTAGTCCCAACAATAGCGAGTACAGAACAACTTGTTAAAGTCATATCGTACCTATTCATATTTATTACACGGTGTTCTTTAACAAAGCTTTTTTATAGCAATTTACTGCTTCAAATAATAGGATTCTTTGCGTGCCAAGAGCTATAATATATTTGTTAGAACAGAAATGTTAATTTATACTTCATTCCTATCATTAAAGCGGGAACACTCTACTCGATGTCGGGCTAACTGAATGGAACGCAATTAGCAGATGCTCAGCGTTCAACTACTATTTATTACCTTTGGCATATTCGAGGAGCTACAGAAAAGGGCGCAGATGTCATTGACTATTGTTGGCACACAACTACGTGCACTCGGGGATCCGCAACAGTTTCTAATTGTACCACGATAATACGTAATCTAACCGGTCCTATTCGTTGTCACGTCGTACATTCCCATCGCAGAACACACACGACCAAGGAGTGGTTTTAATTATATTATATTTTTTCGATTCATCATTAATTGTTATTTGCTTAGTTTTCGCGAGTCGCAGACACGTCTTTAAACTACCTTTATGCTTTAATTTCGTGTCTGTTAGATTCATAAATTTCAATTTCTTTTTTTAGTTTAGATAGCAGTCAGGGCAATATTCGATGGTCGAGGAATAACACCCTAATTGTTTCTGACCACGAAAACTATGTATAAAGTATTCGAAACGACAGAAATAATATAATAAGTATATAATAATAATAAACGTGAGATTAAATCGTAGACGTTTTATTCATCAATTTTCAATTAATGTCAATGATTTATGGCCAAGTTTAATATATGCACGGAAAATATAATTTATATTCTTTTTAATTATAATAGCTTTTGATGCTCAAAGACACCCAATAAATAATCATGTACATAAATTGTTCCTTTTTTTCACGTTCGGTCACGTAATACTAGAAAAACGAAGAAATAGTGACGGAAACATACGTTTTGTTCTATTTTGTATCGAACGAACGCAAAAATAATAATAAGATAATCTCTACGCCACTGATATTCAGCATCCCGTGGGTCTTACATCGCCAGGTGCCACGGTGAACAAATAAACCAACACCGCTTCTCGCGCGCCAAATTGCCCGTGTCGCAATCTGACGCACTGCTATGGGCTCCTTTCACGTGTTAAATCTCTATAATTTGATGGCAAAAAACACAAGTACTCGGTATAAAACAGTTTAAAACGTTCAACGCACAATGGGGTTTAACGTGTCACAAATACATCTAAACGAGATTAATTTTTCGCGTCAATTTGCAAATCCGTATTAGCATTTGCTGCAAATTAACATTTTCTTTAACTCACATCAGAAATTCGCGATCATTACCTGTAACAAAAAAAAGGTTCAGTGATAACTACATTACATTTGAATATTATATGAACACAGTGTAAATAGATTTTCTGCACACGCACATAGGTTTGTAATTTCACTAAGCTTTATTACGTCACTTCCGTTTTCGTATACCCAAGAACCCAATGGGGACCGTCCGACGGATAGGACTTTAATTACAAAATTATGTGGGAATTATTAATAGGTCCGCCGTGTACCCGATTAGATAACAAACTAGTCCATTAGTCGAAAAGGATAAAGCCTCGACAAAATCGGAAACAAAGGGTTTACATCTTTCTTCCCATTCTTTTAAGGTCGACAACGACATTGTAAAAGTTAATTGGATAGGGCCTCGACACACTGGAAGCGAGATAAGCAGTAGCGAACAATACGGCGTGTGTCTCGGTCTGGGGGCGGGTTTGATGCGTGGTTGAGGAATGATCAGCAGCGTGGAAATGACGACTTAATGGATTAAATGTGTCCGGTGACACCAAGATAAGTGTCGCACCGATGTCGACCCTGTCCTCGGAGATTAGGCAACGGAATTACAAAAAATATAATAATTTAATATGGAAAACGACTAAAGAATGATTTTACGTGCCAGTAAACATATTATCGTACAAAATAAATTCATCGATGTAAACGTTACTTTGGGCGATGTCCGACATTACTCTCGGTGGTTTTTCGTAATCTCAGTATTACGTTGTACATCTTTCTTTGTACTGTTTTATTCTTAACAAAAGTTTCGAATTTACTTGTCGAAATATTTTATTTATACACACGCAAATTTTATTTTTATTCAATTTTCATTTACATCAGACATATGGTGCCGGCAAACGACTTAAAAAAAAAACATCCTCTAAAGTCGCGTGTCGACACGAAGCGCGATAAATTGAATGTGAACAATATAACAGTGGTTATCTGGGAGCCCTCGAAATTTATACTAAATAGTAACACAATAATGCACAATTTACCGGCAATCTGTTATTTTTTTTACGCCGAAGGACACAGAACGCCTTACCACTTACGACAAAAAGTCACCGGAGAGATGCCCCGCTGGTCTTTTGAAACATTTCTAGGCGCGATCTGGATAAACGACCCGTGGGAGCCGGTGTGAGGCACTGAGAGATGTCACAGTGGGACGGACATCATTTCAATTACAAAGTCATTTGCGCTGTTTACGTAACAGAACGACGCAAGAACCATGTTCTATCGTGGCCAGATTGCAAATTTTCCGCTTCGCGTATGTCAAAGGGGATAATTTATGAGAGATAACGGATGCCTTGCTGTTGTGGTCACACACATAGTGGCTGTAACTATACTTCAGACCTTAGAACTTATATCTCAAGGCGGGTGGCGCATTTAGGTCGTATATGTCTATGGGCGCCAGTAACCACTGAGCACCAGGAGGGCTTTGAGCTGTAATCTAAGCAATAAAAAAAGAAAAAACTTACACAATAACCACTAAACAATAGCAAAGGTACCGCTAATTTCACTGAATGTGTAACAGCTTTTAGCTGACAATTTTATTAATTTTAGCGGAAAACTGATTACTGACAATGGTTTATTTTAGTGTAACATGCGTATGTGCCAGTATTTTTGCGATCAACAGCAGGTGTGGATCGAACAATTATTCGCGCAGTAATAACACAATAGTCGCACGTAACTTGCCTGCGCCTTTCAATAACAAACGACCACTAATTTCATGAAAGGAGTGGATAAAAAAAAGTTTTATAGTAACACATTTGAAGTTTCCTTAAGAGTTTAGGGTTTCGGCAGAATCTAAGTTAATACATATATGAGGCCGTCAGCGCAAAAGTGGCCTAAGCTTACCATAGTTAGTATAGAGATAATGAGGTTCGAGTTTACCTTTACAATAAAAACTTCGTAGGCAAAAAAATACGCGCTAAAATGAGTTTACAAAGGCATCTATTATCTACGGATGAAACTAGGGATAGGCCGATTTTGCATCAAAATTTATTATGTTTTAAATAAATGTCAATACATAAGCACGAATATGAATTTTGGATTAGGCCATTTTCGCGCTGAGGGCCTCATATAATCAAACGTTTAAGCAGACTATCATTTGTTAAATAAAACGATTTGCACGGAAAGTGATGATCGCGATAACACATTTAGCGTGAATGTTTATTGTGATGAGGGGTTGTGTGACTGAACAATCGGGAATTATAGCAGAATCGTTTATCTAAAATAAAACAAATTACATATTCCCTAATATCGTAATAATAGGCTTGTTTAATCATCCATAAACGAATGAATCCCTGCGAAGCAAGCCTGACGTTTGAGTAGTTTGAGTAGCATTGGAATCTTGAAAATTAATATGATTTAAGAAAACTTATTTGAAAATTTATCATCGTCCTCCTGTGATCAGACCACAAAATATTATAATATTTACTATTAAAACATTTGGTAGTAATTCAAAACTAAATTACACATAGCAGAGTAGATCGCGCGTGTGTCATGATGGCAAGTTGTTTTCTGTTAACAAGAGGGAGAAGTTTGATAATTTAAAATGAAAAAAAAAAAAAACTTTTATAATCAAGATATAAAAATATTTTCCGTAATAATATCTCCGGTGGTGGTATTTATGATGTGTAGCAAGTAGCATTGATAGTTTTATCATTCCAGATAACGTTATGATTATAAATCATAAGAAATAGATATGAATAGTTTTTTTTATGAAATATGTATGACAAGAATAAACTTCAAAGAATTTTTATTAAGCTTGACACAAAACAAAGTTATCATTTTAATACTTTTTATGTTGTAACAACAGCAAAACTATGTCAAGCACCGTAGAATAAAGTTTTGCATTCATAAAACCGCCCTTCGTTTCATGAGAAATAATGAGCAAATATCAACAAACATTGACAGCGCGTTTATATCAGACGGAATGATAACAAGCGCTGACTGTGAAGATACGTCCGCACTCTGCACGCTACCTGGCCAGCTGCCTGGAACCCCCACCAAGTTTAGCGCGCTTTATCCCGCCACTAGCCCTCTGTCTCATTCGCACATACCAAACGAAAGCTTGCTTCAACGCCACAAAAAGCGGTTTCGTTTAACAGTGTGATATTCTACCGACCTATGTGTGAGTAAGGCATATTTTTCTGACAAACGACATCACGAAACCGAAAAGGTACAGCGTGCACTAAAATCTGCGGTCGTTATGACATTTTAGTTTTGAATAGTTGTATACCTGTTGGAACGCGTGAACCCGCGCTGCGGCCTTGTGCGCGAGCGCACCGCTGCGCAGGTTTAACTCCAAGTCAGTTCCACCCCAGACCTCTGCGTGGTCACTCGCGTCACGTGCTCCAAGACTGCTTAGTTGCGGTCGCACGATCTTGTCCAATTAGTGCTCTCGCGAGTTAAGTGGCCGGTTCGACTAGTGAGCGACTAGCCGCGGGGCAAAAGAAAATGAACTAGTGTAATGTTTATATGGAGTTGGAGTGTTATAGAATTGTATAAAACTATGTAAAAGTTTAAGTGAAGTTTTGTGAAACGACATAATGTATTCTACGTGGTTTGCGAATGCCTTGCTTGTGCTCAGCACGGCGTTTACCGCTAGGAGTGCATCACTATCGGCGACGACAAATACCCGTTATCAAGCACCAGATGAGTGTGGTTGGATGACAGATTATGATGGTGCTGGAGTGGCTTTGCAATGTAGATTAAGAACCATAAACAGTGAATTGGAAAACACGAATTTTAGTGCGATACAGCCGCATCCAACAGTAAGATTGCGAATCGAATGCAGTGATGCTCTGTTCTTCCAAAGTTCGTTAGCTCCCGGCAGTTTCCGGCAGTTGATAGAACTACGTGAACTAACCATAGAATACTGCAAAATCGGAAACTTGTCGGATAGTGCATTTACCGGTTTACGAGATCTTAGGAATTTGACAATCAGAACTCATAATACAGATTGGTCAACAATGTCACTTGAAATAACCCCGAGTGCTTTTTCAAGAGATGTTCAAAATTTAGAACGACTGGACTTGAGCGAAAATAATATGCTAGTATTTCCTGATGGCGCTTTATGTTCGTTGAGAAATCTTGAGTATTTGAATATGACAGGTAATAGAATGCGAGACATAAGTCATTTTCAATTTTCTACTGCACACCGACATCCTACAGAAAAATGCGGTGACAACCTTCTGATTCTAGACCTATCGAGGAATGTTATTGATACTTTACCACCGAATCTATTAAATGGGCTAAGACGTCTGCAGAAGTTTTACGTACAAGGCAATGGATTAACATCAGTAGCGGATAGATCATTAGAAGGACTTATATCGTTGACGACGATAAGATTTTCAGATAATCAACTAGCTAGTTTGCCTCCCGAGCTTTTCAGTGATACGAAAGAATTAAAAGAAATATACTTAAATAATAATACTATCACAGTATTAGCACCAGGATTATTTAGCGATTTAGTACAACTCTTAGTACTTGATCTATCTTATAATGAACTGACTTCGGATTGGATAAATACATCTACATTTTCCGGATTAAAAAGACTTGTATATTTGGATTTCTCCCATAATCGTGTGACTAAACTAGAAATAGCATTGTTCCGAGATTTACACAATTTGCAAATACTGAAGATGCAAGATAATTTTATAGAGCACATACCTGAAAATGTATTCGGCTCACTAAGCAATTTGCACACATTAACTTTATCAAACAATAGATTAACAAATATAGAAAGCCATGCATTTACAGGATTGCAAGCATTGTCGGTTCTTTCCGTAGATAGTAATCGTATTTCGCGAATAAATTCACAAGCACTCCGAAACTGTTCTAATTTACAAGACTTGCACATAAACGGTAATAGACTGGACGAAGTCCCAGAGGCTTTGAAAGAAATACCACAATTGAAAACGCTTGACCTAGGCGAGAACTTAATAGTGAGCATTGAAAATGCGTCGTTTATGACAATGGAACAAATGTATGGATTGAGACTAACTGAAAATAATATCGGAAATATAAGTAAAGGAGTATTTGACAGGATGACGTCACTGAAAATTTTAAATTTATCGAGAAACAAAATACATAAGATTGAAGCCGGCTCGTTTGATGGCAATATCAATTTACAAGCAATAAGGCTAGACGGAAATTATTTAACGGATATCGGAGGGCTCTTCGCTAAGTTACCTAATTTGGTATGGTTGAATATCTCTGATAATCGACTAGAATGGTTCGACTATGCCATGATTCCTACTGGATTGCAGTGGTTGGACATACATGCGAACAGGATTGCTGAACTTGGAAATTACTTCGAGATCGAATCGCAACTGTCTCTCAGCACTTTCGATGCAAGTTCTAATAAACTGACTGAAATAACTGGAAGTGCGATACCTAACTCTGTGCAAATGCTATACTTAAACGATAATCTTATTTCAAAAGTGCAATCCTACACTTTCTTTAAGAAACCTAATCTGACGCGTGTTGATTTGTACGGTAATAAAATAACGAGCTTAGATCCGAATTCTTTAAGAATATCGGCCGTCCCGCAAGACAAATCAGTGCCAGAGTTTTTTATAGGTGGAAATCCATTAGAATGTGATTGTACAATGGAATGGCTGCAAAAAATTAATACCGGAAACAGAGCAAGAACACAGCCCAAGTTAATGGATTTGGATAGCATACACTGCAAATTACTTTACAGTCGTGGAAATGCTTTTGTGCCACTGATTGAAGCGGCTCCTCACCAGTTTCTCTGTAAATACGAGTCACATTGCCATGCTCTTTGTCATTGTTGTGATTTTGATGCCTGCGACTGTGAAATGACGTGCCCAAATAACTGTACGTGTTATCACGACCCGTCGTGGTCTGCTAATGTCGTTGAATGCTCGAATGCTGGTTACACGAATGATTTACCTGAGAAAATACCAATGGAGGCCACCGAGCTGTATCTTGACGGGAATAGTATTAAAGAACTCCCAAGTCACGCGTTTATCGGAAGAAAAAAATTAAAAATTCTATTTTTGAATGCATCTCACATAGAAATTGTACACAATAGAACATTTAACGGATTAAAAGAGTTGGAAGTACTTCATCTAGATCACAATAGCGTGACATCTATTGAAGGTCAAGAATTTAATGGCTTAGATAATTTACGTGAACTGTATTTGAACAACAATAAGATCAAAAACATAGGAAAGGAAATGTTTAATCATATGTCAAGGTTAAGGATATTACATTTACACCGTAATTATTTAATATCATTATCAGTATGGCAAATCAATCCGGCGATAACTGAAATAACACTTTCATACAATCCATGGTCATGTGATTGTGAATATACAGAAATGTTCCGGGAATGGACAAAACGAGTGAGTTCAGTTACAGATTTGTCAAATATACAATGCGTTTACACTCAAGGAAATACTTCTAATATTCTGGTATTGAATGACACTATCTTTGACGATCCTAGTTCTGGATTTAAAATAGCCTACGAAAATGGTACACTGTGCACGGGATTGCCAAGCATCAACAACAGTATTAACGGCAACCTCACTGCCACGCGTACAATAATAACAAATGAAGATGTGCAAGATTACATACCGCTTCTTATCGCAACACTTGGAGGATTTTTATTGGTATTAATATTAAGCGTTATGTTATTCATATACAGGCAAGAAATGAGAGTATGGTGTCATTCAAGATTCGGAGTACGGTTATTCTACAGAGCTAGTGACTTGGAGGATTCGGAAAAAATGTATGACGCTTTTGTGTGCTACAGCTCCAAAGACGAGGCTTGGGTAACTGAGGAACTCGCTTCGAGCTTGGAACGTGGAGACCCTTCTTATAAGCTTTGTCTACACTACCGTGACGTGGGCGGCCACGTTACTGACAAGATAAGACAAGCCGTGGAATCATCCCGGCGTACTATTATGATCCTTAGTGAAAATTTTTTGAGATCTGAGTGGGTTCGCTATGAACTAAAATCTGCTATGACCCATGTGTTAAGAGACCGACGGAAAAGACTGATCGTAGTGTTATTAGGACAAGTGTCACAAAAAGACTTAGACCAAGATCTAAGACTTTACATAAAAACTAACAAGTGTTTAAATGCTAACGATAGACTATTTTGGGAGAAGTTGAAGTTTGCACTACCGGACGTTAGATATAACCAGCGGTGTCGAGGCATGCCGAGTCCGAATTCTGGTGGCGGCATGCCCATGCACCGACATCATCATCCGAGGAACCACTTGGGCATGTTGCCACCGCCACCGGTGCACGGCGCCCATCCCGTGCTTCCACCACATCCGTCTCACGCTTCGCACCAGTTACCGCCCCGAGCCTCACCACGCACCATGTCCGTCCATGTGTAATGTGCGACCTCAAAACATTATTTCAGTGATATATAACCATAGTGTTGTGTTAAAACGTGATGACTAGTCGGTAAACTCTTTTGTAAATAACTGTAATATTAAAAGCAGTGCTGTAAATATTGAAATAATTGTAGGTGTGCGTATCGATAAGTGTAAATTATATGTATAATTATTACATTACTGAATGCCATTTTCATAGTATTGTATGTAATTTAGCTAGTTTTCGCTGTAACGTTGTGTACATACGGCTGTTTGCCCGGCAAACTCGCCAACAACTATTAATTTTAATTAAATGGCATCACTGCCTATGTCTGTGATAATATTAGTGTAAGAAACTATCATTTTGATATCCCATCAATGTATATTTTGTAACTTAGTCATATCTAAAAGAATATTTATTGTAAAAATTCAAAAAAAATTGACTGTGCCCAAAAGTGATAAAGGAAATAAATAATGATGAAATTAAAAAGCCTCTTTGAGTTCTAGCTTGCCTTTTCACTTATAACGAAAATATAAATCGAAAAACTAGTAATCATTCTGAGATCGATATATCTCAGTTTTAACAACTTTTGTTAAGGATTGACTCTGAGTAAAGATTTCAAAACTACAGTTTTCTATTCACACTTCATTTTACTGCATACATTTTTGTACAAGATCATACAAACAAAATTTCAACATGTCTATGATTGGTTATTTTATTAAAATTCAAATGAAACAATTCACTAAATTGAAATTCGTATTTTATTTTAATAGATTAAGATACATAATTTAAAAAATAAACATTGGCGGTTAAATACCTAGTTGTACAGACATATGCGAATAATTAATAAAACGAAATTAAAAAGCAACCAGTTTCAATTCTTAGTAAAATAAAAGAAGTTAGTTAAAAAATGTTCTATGAAAATCAGAAGTGAATAGTTTCATTTTAACGAAACAACTAAATAAACTAAATGTTAACATTATCAATTTTCACGGGTAGTAGAGATTGATAGATGACTGTGATCAATTTTAGGCTTTAATCTTGACCAATTTATACTTCATTAGCTTTATATTTTATTCAAAAACAGAATACCTTAAAAAAATATGTTTAAAATAAATACCAAGCAATGGTTACTTACAATGATCCAATATCAGATAGTCGTCACTGTATTAAAAGAAGAACATTATTTAAGTTAAGAAACAAATGCAATTAACTTTTTCATTATTTCATTATTTTTTTAAAGTGTGCTATCAAAATTCATATTCATTATGAATACAATAACTTAGTTTTTTTTAACTCTTAGCACGGATTACGGTATTGGTGACGTAACATTTATTTACGTAAGTAATGCTATTTTGCATACAGTAAAACTTTTATTAAGACACATACAAATTGCAAAACGATATAAAAATGACGATCTCATACAGCACATCTATCTACAAGTAAAAATAAAAACAGCCGCATATGTGCTGTTTAAATGTATATTATTATTATTGCTCGGTAATCATTTATTTCTGCTCGATAATCGCGTGCAGTTATCCACGAAATTAAGATTAATGACGTACGCTTCATTTGTCATAAAAACGTGAATGAACTAAATCATTCGGTTCATCAAAAATAAATTTGCCAGTACGAACTGACGTGACGTAACTTCAACTTGATCTTTTGTAAAATAAGACAATTTCAACGCTAACTAACATACCCTGGTCATATCATGACTAATGATATCTTAAATCTTATTTCTTCCATAATAATCCGATAAACTGGAAATGAGAGTTAATTAATTAATTATTCCGAAACAGTTTTAGGGTATGTTTGTATTTTCATTTAAGAATGATATATTAAAGTTAAGCAGGAATTTCGCTCATAATCTAATAATACTCAGTGCGGTTGTGTCCTCTTTACTCATTGTTCTGGTCTACATAATGTCAGTGTCCATAACCACTTTCTATCTAGTGAACGCTAATCTACATGCGACAGCATAAAATAGTCACAAAATAAGTTTTAAGTACACCTATTCAAGCGTTCAATCCGATACATAGACTAAATAACAACCTTTATTAGCATTGCATAACTATTTTCATTTTACGTAAATGCTCAAGTTGTTATCTTATACTTTCAAATGTAAATAACTAATTATACTTAGTATATTCGAAATTTAAAGTCTTCAGGCATAAATACGATATGAATAGAATACTATTAAAACTAGACTATAAATATTACTACATCTTACATTTCTTATTATTGATTTTATTTTAAACCTATCTTTAATCTTAGCTTAGCGTGAAAATGCCAACTAGGAAATAGTTATAACATATACTCATTAACGCTACGATACAACTACATACGTCTATATAATTTGTATACCAATGACTCAAGCAGTAATTTGCGTGAATGTATAGCAGACATTAACGAAAATCCCACGCTTTTAAAAAGAGGTATACAATATGAATGGTAATTAGAAGTCAGAAATGTACGGCGAAAAACTAAAATATCTCTTTAGATTTGAAACGATACAATCAGTATTCGTCAGCTTCAAATTATCATATCCAATGCTCTGTGGAGTTTTTTTAAACGATTTCTGCATATGCTTTTATCACAGCGACGCCTACTACACTACTGGGCCCATTGTGGTCATCTAAAGAGTATTTCTGGAGATCTATTTTGCCACGAGTTAATCTAACACTGAAATGAACTTCTTTTATCGGTGTTAGCTGTCCATGGTTTGAAGAGTCCTCAGCGTTAGATCACAGCATGGTTATGCCCCTAGCATTGTTTATATCCACTCACTATATCCCGAGTGCTATATAACAGCAATACAAATAATAATGTAATGATCATAATGTACGAAATTTCACTAACGAACGCATCGCTTTGTCCATAATCCACCCGTCAAATTTATAGCTGCATCAAATTCCTGAGGCGAATAAGGTTTCGTGTTCACACCGACAAGCGAGTGAGCATCGCCACGGGAATATTTTTTATGTGCATATACAGCAGGATCGGCGTGGATGCGAGGCCTTCGACCGCGAGCCTTCAATCTAAGGTAACGAGCCTTCGCCCTTAAGTAGGTGTGAAACAACTGGAAGGCGCGAACAAAAGGATAGCGCGCCATATTTCGATTGCTTTTATCTTATTCAATGAGCTAACTTTGTAAGGACAAACCTCGATTATATTTTTAGTGCCATTAAAACTTTTTTGATTTATTGGCAAGATTTAAATTAAATGCGTTGCGTGTCAACATAAATGCGTTTTATTAAAAAAAAACTTACAACTTGTCTCTTCACATGATACGGTCAATGCGATCCATGGACATCGGCAATCCAAATATCAGAATCGAGCCACAGGAAGAAATTGCCAAAAACCGCACACTGTGTGTTTAGTTATTATAGGGATAAAGTTATTTTAAAGTGCTTCATTTAATATCTGTTGAATGTTAAATATTTTACTTTAACAAAATGTTTTTTTTTTTTTTTGCTTTGCACTTACTAAAAACTAGCAAATTCCAGGATAAAAATTTCAAACTACAGAATCCGCATTACAACGTGACTCAGGCGGTTCTTTAGCTCGGTACATCAAGTCAGGGTAATATACCCGGAGGCCACAAACAGGAACGAGTAGATGGTGCGGTCAGGAAGAACTAACTGACTTTCATTACTCATACCACATTTATTAATCTGCATTGCCTTAAAGGTACGAGTTATGCCGAATTCAATATTTTATTTCATAAAAACGAAAATAAATTCACTGAAACGATTTATATACGTCTTTGCTTTTTTACGAATATTTATGCCATCATACAGAAATCGAAACGACCAAAGTACCGCGTCTACACTCGCGAGCATCATAAATTAAAGTAGAGAAATAACACAAAGGCGGAAAAAAAATAAAAACGCGACGCGGCACTGTGTACAACATTAATCAGGGCTGTGAGAAGGCGTAGAGAATTTATTTTACGATTGTTACAGCTCCGATGAAACGTTAAAAATGCTGTCCGAGTTATATTGAAACATTCGACGCATTGTTCGAGTCTGATTGGAGAGATAACGCACCGCGGTTCCGACTTACGAGTCTCAGTGCAGCTCTAGCACCTTGTTGATTTTCCAACGTAAACTGTCGGATACGACCCGCCCGCGACTAGTTTCTTTTTATTAGTACTGGTTTAGTGTAAAACGGAACGCGTCTCTGTATCGATCGTACGATTGAACCGAGAGATATCATAATCACCGGTCTGCACGTTTATCGAAAACGTAATCGTGGAGCGGCTATAAATTTGTCTCATTTTAATACACCAGTTATGTGTAAATGTTCCGATATAACAGCTCCGATGTTTGAACTCGAATCACATAAGAGGCGGAGAGATTTGGGAAGCGAAAGACGCCCGCGCTCGGTCGTACGAAAGAGTTCAACGAGATACAAAATTGTACCGTATTCATAGTCCAGATACGAGAGTTGGAACGAGAAATTATTATTTATATTATTCTTTTATTTAGAGAAATTATTCCTTAATAATATTTTGACATCGGAATCTAAACCAGTAAAAAACAATGTAAAATTAAATTTGCTTTTACCACTAATAATTATCGAATTATAGAGGAAACTTGGGAATTACGTAAATGTTACTCATTTCCTAATACAACAGAAACGCAATAAAACACCGATATATACAGGATGTTGCAACGATTTCTTGCATACGTAGGTACCTACCGGTAAACTTATCTAGTTCGCATTAGTTAGATTTTTATTAACAAAAACTATTCACAAAGCTTTTTAAGTATTTGTTTTCACATNAAAAAACAATACTATGAACTAAATTACTATTGTTGAAACGCTATCTCGAGAAACTGTACTCATTACGCGGACCAATCGGATACGAGCAATGTCACGCGATAAGCGCCTACACGTTGATTGGTCAGAATGACGGATCTAAAAAGTGTCGTGACAACTTTTCGTAAGATTTTTTTCCGTCTAGCCCCCTTTCACAACGCGCGGTAAGGAACTTCGTTCCAATAATAATTACACATAGTATTTTGTTCGGTTTTCGCAGGACGTAGACATAATTAACACTACCTTAAGTTATTATATTATATTTGACGTTCTGAATAGTTTACAGTTCACGTGGTCACAAAAATGGTTTCGTCGTAAAAATAGTTTCAAATTACGCTTACGAAAACTGTCAAAACTCACTTTCAACGCATTGTGTCCGACACGATTTAAGCACCCAACTATGAATGTTCGTACTAATCGTCTCTTGTTAAACCTTATGAGATCCAACCTGTTATTTAGTACAGCTATAAAGAGACCAAACAATATCACGTGCTTTGTATAATGCGCACCGTTGTGACTCACCGGTTATCTTCATTGAACGCGATACAATTTGACGCAAATTACACAGTGTTGCGACCAACAATGTTAATTAAGTTGCCCGCAAGAGATTAATTTGATTATCAAAATCTTTA